TGGTTCAGCAACAGTTTCTTCTTCTACATCTTCGTCTTCAATCTCTTCCACTTCTGCCATTTCAGCTTCTTCGCCAATTTTTCTACTCTCAAACATATGTAATCTTATATCAATCTATTTAGATTCCACAAATTTTTATTTTAGTGGAAATTCCAAATTTTTGCTATACTTCGAGCACATTCGCTCATGGAATTCATAGATGGAACAGTTCAATGCCCAGAAAAGTTTCTTCGAGATGAAGTAAGGTTGATTACAACTCAAATTACATAAGACCAAGCCCTCATGACTTTGATTAATGCAAACTTGTCAGCCTCAGCAATTTCTACTGTCATTGGATATACAACGGCTCGAGAGATTTGGCCAGCACTTAAAAGGAGGTACTCATCTCTGTCCAGATCCAATATACTTCAACTTAAGACTAGTTTGCAAACTATCACTAAAGGTACACATTTAGTTGGCATTTATATACAAGAGATTAAAGAAATCAGAGATAAGCTTGTCAAAACTTCAATTTTTCTTGATGATGAGGATATCTTGATCTCTACAGTCAATGGACTTCCAATAGAATATAATGCTTTTAGAATACATCTATTAGAACTAGATCTCATAGTGTTACTCTAGAGGATCTTCATATTCTTCTCAAAGTTGAAGAATCCTCTATTGAATCAGTTTCTCCTCAAAATTCCAATACCTTCACACCTACTACTATGACTGCCTCTAATTCACCTAGCAATTATTCTAAAAGAGGTAATGATAGAGGAAATGGTCAGATAGGTCTGGTAATGGCAGAGATAGAGGAAATGGCAAAGGTATTGGCAATAGTAAGGGCTATAATTAGTCCAACTAGGTACAATCAACCACAAAATCCGTCAATTCTTAGCTCAGCACCACAGTAGAAGCAAAACTACTCTAATAATTAGTCTCACTATTATCGAGTGGTTTGTCAGCTTTGTAACAAGTTAGGGCACTCAACTCTTGACTGTTATCATCGCATGGATTATGCTTACCAAGGAAAACGATCTCCTTCACAGCTGACTGGCATGACAACTTCATCCTCTAATACTAATGTAAATTCACCATATTGGATTGCCAACTCAGGGTGCTTCGCATCATCTTACTTCTAAGTTGGCCAATTTATCTCTGCCGTCTGAATATCAAGGGACAGATCGGATCGCCATTGGTAATGGTCAAGGTTTGTCAATCTCTCACACAGGAAGAATTCCTTTGCAGCTCTCTTCTCATACTTTTAATATTTCCCATGTTCTTTGTGTTCCTTATATAACCTCCAACTTGCTTTCAGTATATCAATTCTGTGTTGATAATAATTGTCAATTTATTTTTTATGCTAATTTCTTTTGTATTCAGGACAAGGCTATGGGGATGCTGCTCTATTAAGGCTAGAGCCATAATGGGCTTTATTCTATTACAGCACCATGTTCTCAGCAGTCTTCTTCTCAAACACATCTTGACTTTTAAGGTTCTGATTCCTTGTGGCACTCAAGATTGGGTCATCCTTTTCAGTCAATCTTAACTCAAGTGCTTCATCAAGCAAAATTGTCTGATGTATCTTCCAAACATTCTTCTTTTACTTACACTCATTGTATTGGCAAAATGACCAAGTTGTCATTTCCTCTTTCACAAACACTGACTATGTCTTCTCTTCAAATTTTGCACAGTGATGTATGGGGCCCTGCTCTAGTGCTTTCTTTTCAAGGTTTTATGTACTATGTTCCCTTTATAGATGACTTCAACAAATATACTTGATTGTTCTCTCTTGCTTATAAATCAGATGTTGAAACTGTTTTATATAAATTCAAGTCATATGTTAAGAATTTGTTAAATCTGATGTGCAAAATTCTTAGAACAAATGGAGGTGGAGAGCATCACTCGCACAAAATTCAAACTTTTCTTTCTTCTCATGGCATTGAATATCAGAAATCCTGTCCTCATAATCCTAAACAGAATGGTGTTGCAGAAAGGAAATATAGACACATTATCAACACAACCATCACTCTTTTAGCTCAAGCTTCCATGCCTTTGTCATTCTGGTATCATGCTTTTGCCATTGCTATTTTTCTTATCAATTAATTACCAAGTAGAAACACATCAAATAAGTCCCCCTTTGAACTCCTGTTTCATTCTCTACCAGATTACACTTATCTTAAAATATTTTATTATACTTGTTATCCTCTTCTCAAACCCTATATCACTCATAAACTTCAACCTAAATCCACACAATGTGTATTTATTGGTTATGCACTAGATCAAAAGGGTAATCTTTGTTTCCAGCCTACGACAAACATAGCCTTTGTTTCTAGGCATGTTCTTCTTGATGAGACTGTTTTCCCATTTGCCTCTACATCATCCTCAGTCTCTTCCTCAAGCTTACCTTCTATTCTAGACCCCTTTCGCTCCATCTTTGTTATTAAAATAATTGTCCTCCTCCATGTCTACTTCTATTGATACATCTGCTCCTTTAAATTCAGCTTCTTCAACACCTGCTCCTCCTGCAATCATTCAAAACTTAATTGTTCCTTCATCTTTTCCAATTTCAAATTTATCTGCACCTTCTGCATCTTTTAATGAGCATCCTTCATCTATTGTTTTATTACATTGCATTCCTACTTCACATTTTCCTGAGCCTACAAATCCATTACTTTAATTCCTAGCTACCTCCAATCAACCCATGCAAACCAGATCCAAGTCTGGTATAGTCAAGCAAAAAACCTTTTTCACCACTACACAACCTACTGCATTCATTGCTGCATCCAAAGTTCCTGAGTGGAGACAAGCAATGGCCTCAGAATTCATAGCTCTTCAACAATAGGGTACCTGGACTTTAGTCCCAGCTGAATCTAAACATCATATTATTGGTTGTAAGTGGGTCTATAGAATCAAGAGACTAGCTGATGGTTCTATCTCAAGGTATATGGCTCATTTGGTTGCAAAAGGGCTTTCAACAGGAAGCTGGCATAGATTATGAAGAGACTTTCATCCCAGTAATCAAACATGCTACTGTCAAGGTTATTCTTGCTATTGCAGCCCATTATAACTAGAATCTGAGACAACTTGATGTTAAAAATGCTTTTCTCCATGGTATTCTTAAAGAGGAGGCTTACATGATGCAACTTCTAGGCTCTGCAAATCCTTATTTCCCCAAAGCAGTTTGTAAGCTTCACAAGTCTCTTTATAGCTTGAAACAGGCTCCTCAAGCTTGTTTTGAAAGATTTATCAATCATTTACTTACTTGTGAGTTTCAACCATCAAGTGTAGATTCCTCATTGTTCATAAGGAAGACCTCTTCTTCTGCTCTATGTGGAAGATATCATTCTTACAGGAGATGATCCAGCTTATGTCCAACATCTTATTACCAATTTAAACTCTATTTCTACCATGACAGATCTGGGACCCTTCCATTATTTTCTTGGTTTAAAAATTAAATACACAGCTACATGCCTTTTTCTCTCCCAACACAAGTTTGCTTCTAATTTATTGACCAAAACTCATATGATTGTTTGAAATCTTTGTACAAACTCATCTTCCACCTCTGTTAAACTGACTAAACATGAAGACACTCCTCTCACTGATCCAACCTCTTTTAAGAGTCTATTAGGAGCACTCCAATACCTTACCTTTACTAGACCTGATCTCAGTCATTTTGTTAATCAGATCTATCAATTTATGCATATTCCAACAAACAAACACTTGGTTGCTCTTCGAAAAATTCTTCGATACCTAAAAGGTACCATCACCTATTATCTATTTTATAGGAGATCATCTTCACCTTCTAACTCCCTGGTTCTTTCTGCCTACACTGACGCTGATTGGGCATGGGACATTACAGACATGAGATCCACCACTAGATTCTTGATTTTCTTAGGGTCTAGTATGATTCATTAGGGTATAAAGAAGTAGTATATTATGGTTAGATCCTCTACCGAAGCAGAATATAAAGTGTTGGCCACAACAACTACTTAATTGTCGTAGCTGAGGATGTTGTTGTGTGATTTGCACATCTTTCTTTCTACTACTCCCACTATATGGTGTGATAACATCTCAGCACTTGCATTGGACAACAATCCTCATTTTCATGGTCGAACAAAGCATATTGAGGTGGATTATCATTTTGTCAGAGAGAAGGTCACTCGTAGGGATCTCTCAGTTCAACATGTGGCCAGTGAGGATCATTTAGTCGATGCCTTTACCAAGTCCTTGTTTTCTGGTCGTTTTTTGCCTTTCAGAGACAAACTTCTACGGGCATCATCATCCATCAGTTTGGGAATGATAACCAAGAGACCCAATAGCAAGAAATCTAATAACAGAATTAGTTAGCACTCAGTTAGTAATTAGTTAGGCGAGTTAGTTATGCTAGTTGTAGCTGTGTTCACGTGTATATTGCATTGTATAACTCACACATTGACTGATATTGTAAATATATGTACATGTGAATCAAAAGAGGTGAATAATATACTCTGATCATTCTAGATTTTCATCTCCATCTCTCTCTCTCTCTCTCTCTGTGTTATTGTTTTTTCTTCATCAGATCTAATCTAAGATCTAAAGCTCATAGCTCAACACTAAAGTCTTTCAGTGTGGGGGGTGGTTGCCACTGCCAGAGTTCTTGAGGTGGAGTAAGGACCTGCCGGAGTACCCATGAGGGTTAGGTTAGGATTAATTTTAGTTTTTGGTAAAAATATATTAAGGGGTATTAAAGTTTTTTTTAAGTAAAATTGTTAATTGATATTTCGATAAATTATAATCACACCTCCTTAGATCAGTATAATTATAGAGACACCCCTTCGATTATTTAAAATATTACTAACCCTCCTCATAGTGTATCTATCGGTTTCACATAATACCCTTACCATTAGATGTTACTGACAATCAAAAGAAAGTGATTATTTCCTCGTATTCTTTCTATGAATTGCTCAGGGGTGAGTATGTTGAGGGTTTTGTTGACAGGGTTAGGCTTTTTAGGGTTGACGGTTAGATGAGGCTTTATGTATGGGGAAAAGGGAGAATGGGGTTGCAGAACAATTATGGGTTTAGGGGTTGAGATGAGGGTGCGATGGTGGTTTTATAACAGAATGTGGCTCGGATGTTTTTTTTGGGTTCGGTTGATAGCGTGGGGTGTTGTAGTGAGGCTAGGTTTGGCTATGATGAAGCAATATTCTTGTCGTCGATGGAGCAATAGTGTAGTGGAGTTTGTGAAATTCTTGAATTGCATAATGTATGATTATTGATCTCATGGGTGGGTGATGAGTGTTGCATAAGTATGTTAAGAATTTTGTGATAAAAATCTCATTTTGTTCATTAAAATTTTATGAGTTTTTAGATGGATCTTAACTACGTGTAAGAATATGTTTTACGAGACCAAACGAAAGCTACTATTCATACTTGAGATGATCTATTTGATTCAATAACAAACTTTAAGAGATTTGATTATAATTTATTGTAATAATTTTATTACTTAGAATTTAATAAATTCCAACATAGTTAAAGTGGGCAACTCAGATCTCTCATATGAGGCTAAAAAAGGATGAGATGTTTCTAAAGGGTGGTTGACCCCTATTGCGCCGCTGATTTTCATATTTTATTACAAAATCAACGGCCCTTAAAAGTTGACCCAAAAAAAAAAAATGAGTTTATGCCTCAAAAAAATTTTAAAATTTTATGCCTCAAAAAAATTTTAAAAACTTTATCTTATATTTTTAAAAATTAAATTTTTTACATTATACTTTCAACGTATTAAAAAAATTGTAATATAATTATTCTATTAATTTATTTTTTTATTTTTTTAAAAATCATCTTTTGACGAATTGAGTAACAAAAAATAATGAAAGAGCCCCAAGAACATTTAAATTTAATACATTGAAGGGTTAATTGTAAATTGTAGCATGATCGTTCAAATCTTAATTTGTACCTCTAAAGATCAAAAATTTTAATTTATACTCCCAAAGATATAAATTTATATCAAAGTGCACCCCAAAGATAAAAAATCTCAATTTGTACCCTAAAAGATAGAAATTTGTATCAATGTGCATCTAAAACTAACTGCCGTCAGTTTTCTGCCTAAAATTGAATTGATAAATTATACTTAGATCCCCTTATGCTTGTCACTTAATCATTTGGATCTCTTCACAAAATAATAGGTAATATAAAATTATAATTTTTTATTAGGATAAACTCATATTTTTTAACGACTATAAAATCCTAATAAAAATACTCTCAATCTAAAATTTTTCCATAATTAGGCATTCAAATAATTATGTTTAAATGATATATTGCATTGCGCATAAAAAACATTATATAAACTTTAGAATATTTCAGACTCACAAAATAAAGGGTAATATGAAATTATAATTTTTATTAGGATAAAATCATATTTTTTAACGATTTTATTACAGATATCAACGAAAAGAGGTTACATGTTATACGTACACAAACGTCATGAAATGTAGGAGTAATATTTTAAATGCGAAACGGTTTAAATGATTAAGTGACAAATATGAAGAGATTTATGTATAATTTATCAATTTAATTTTAGGCAACAAATTGACGGGGGTTAATTTTTGGTGCACATTGATACAAATTTATATTTTTGAGGGTGCAAATTGAGTTTTTTGATCTTTAGGGGAGCACATTGATATAAATTTTTATGTTTAAGGGTATAAATTAAAATTTTTAATTTTTAAGAATATAAATTAAAATTCGAGCAACACTTTCAAAGTGTAATTTACAGCTAACCGTATATTAAATGCACAATATGAAATTCTACAATTCGCTCTAGAATTAAAAACAACTTATTTTTCGAGTTGTTTTTCTTCTCTTTTTTCTACCCTCCCAAAACCCTAAAAATCCTCTCCACCTCCCCAACCTCACAGTCCCATCTTTTTTCTCCGTAAAACCCTAAATTCCTGGTAGTGAAGCAAGTGGATCTGTAACAATGTCGAAGAGCTCGAAGATGCTTCAATACATCAATTATCGGATGAGAGTTACCATCCAGGACGGCCGTCAATTGGTGGCAAGTTCATGGCCTTCGACTGCCACATGAACCTCGTCATAGGAGATTGCGAAGAGTTCCTGCAACTGCCTCCGGCGAAAGGCAAAAAGAACGAGGAGAGAGAGGAACGCCATACTCTCGGCCTCGTACTCCTCAGGGGTGAAGAAGTCATTTCAATGACCGTCGAAGGTCCTTCTCCTCCTGACGTGTCTCGAGCCATAGGCGCCGGTTCCGTTCCGTCTGGACCCGGTGTTGGTCGGGCCGCAGGCCGTGGCTTCCACAATGGGCCACTTGTTCAGGCCCAACTTGGGTTAGATGGGCCGGTTCGTGGCGTTGGTGGGCTGCCCCTGGAATGACGCAGCCACAGATTTCTCGCCCGCCGATGAGTTATCCCCAACCGCCAGTTATGCGGCCGCCGAACCAGATGAGGGCCCCTTATCCTGGCCAGGCGCCACGTCAAATGCCTAGGGGCCTGCCGCCACCGCCTCAGTTTGCTCAGCGGCCGTTGGTTCCACCCCCTCAGATGATGAGGGGACCGCCTCCACGATTTGGGATGCCGCCTCCCCCGCACTTTGGTATGATGCCTCCACCGGGTGGTGGTATTCGTTATCCTGGCCAGGCGCCACCTCAAATGCCTAGGGGCCTGCCGCCACCGCCTCAGTTTGCTCAGCGGCCAGGTGGGCCGCCACCTGGGTCATACCCGATGCCGCCTCAATTTGCACAGAGGCCGATGGTTCCACCCCCTCAGATGATGAGGGGACCGCCTCCACGATTTGGGATGCCGCCTCCCCCGCACTTTGGTATGATGCCTCCACCGGGTGGTGGTATTCCAGTCTATGGCCCGCCTCGTCCTGGGATGCTACCTCCACCAAATGCCCCTCCACAAAATCAGCCACCGCAGCAGTGATTTGGTAAGATGTTTTGAAATTCAATGCGTTTATTGAATCTAATTATAATGCACATTTCTATTATCCTTTCTTGAACTTGGCTAAATGTTGTTGTAATGCTCTACATAATAATTAAATGTTTAGACGATCCCGAGAATAAGGACAATCAAATCTTCTGTTTGGGTAGCTGGTAGAGAAATCTTTCCTGAGATTGTGTTTCTGTCCTATTGGAATGTGAGATTTTGAGGTAGTTCTATAATTCATAGGTGCAATAAATTATTGATATTAGTGTTGTGAATGAGGTCATTGCTTGGTGCAGTGATTAAAGTATCGTGTTTTTAAAAATATCAAGTGTTAAGTCTATGTTCAATTCTGTCTGTCTAGCACCCTCAATGAATGCAGACTAAGTTGTGTAATGACCAATTTAGTGTGCGCAAAATAACCTCATGATGCTCCTTTTACTATTGCCAAGACATTGAGACATATTCTTTGAGTTGTTTTATTTCCTTTTGAGTTCCCTTAATGTTCTTGTGTATTCCTTCATATTCCTTGTGGAGACTTATGGAAAAATAAGAAAGACTGTTATAATGTGGCAGATGTTGATGCATTGGACAGCTGGGTCTACTGACTTTGTAAATTGATGGTTGGGGGACCACTTGCATTTATTCTAGGTGGAAGATGTTTTTTTTTTTAATTTTTATTTGAAACACTTTGAAAAAGTACCACATTGATACCATAAAAATTGATGATCCGGGGCATTTTGGTTTTACCGTTGTTGCATAGCTAACACTAGTATTTTGAAGAGTTGTACTAGATTACGAATTTCTTCATAGAATATTTGTTTTCAATTCCAAGTCATAGTATTTGTTAAGATTTTGGATGGTGGTGCTCCCTATGCCTTTCCATGTATGTATCTCATTTATATGTTCAACAAAGTTTCGGTCTATGTTTATGATTCCATAACTAATGTATCCCCATTTAGTTGGAGCTTGAACTTGATAGGCACCCTTTGTTACTGTCACCTTCTCAGTTTGTTTTTGCCTTGTCTGACTTCTACTCGAATTTTGTTGCTTCCTATAATAGTGAGTCATATGACGCATCAAAATAAAAAAAGTAAGTCATATGCCGGATGTTGTTAGCTTGTAAAGTTTTGGAAATTTTGAATTATATGTAACCATATATTATTTGAATTTTTGTTTAGTTTTTTGGTCGTTAGAGAGGAAATTGGGTCCCTTAATCTATCTTATCAATGGTTTGGTTCAAACCGAAGTGCTTGCTCCTGTGTAGTCCAGCCTTTACAGGGGTTTAGGCACCAAATTAGTATAAAATATTTTTTTTGGTCCGAGTATAAGATTAGAAGAAATTGAAAAATAGATGAAAATCAGTAGGAGTGACGATTTTTGATACGACACGTCGAAATCGACACAAAATTAGTAGGTTAGGGTTGATTATTTCTCGACACAAACCAGTAAATGACAGGACCCGTTAACACGAATAATAAATGGGTTGGGTTATTGTCAAATATGAAATTGACACGAACTAGTATTATAGGAATAAAATGTTAATATTTATTATATTTTATTTAATAGTGATTAAATTATTGTATAAAAAAAGATATTTTTACTCATTTTTATTATTATATTTATTAAGTTAATGTTTAGTTTATAGAAAAATTATGACTATAGGTTCATTAAGTGATAATTAGATTTTAAACTTAAATTTGAGCGTTAAATTTTCTATTTACGATTTATATGGGTTAACAAGAATATAAATATATCGACTCTACTTGACACGATTAGTTAAACGGCTTAAGTTAGAGATGACTAATGATCAACACGAATTCAAAATAACACAACTCGATTGCCACCTCTAAAAACCACAATCCATTACTTCTGTCAAAAGAATGATGTAGAATGAAAAGGCGATTGGATCTCACACCAATAGTCCTTATCTAGAATAGTTACTCTAAAGTACTCCAAACTTGGCATTCCAAATCTTCTTTGGCTATATTTTTCATTTCCATTTCTGTTGACAATACTTACATTGTCGAAAGTGCATTACGAAAAACGAATTCAAGTGCTTAAGTAAATAGAACTTGCATTAAAATTAAAAAGAAAAATGAACCTAGATGTTGTTACGTGCACACTTTTAGGAATTTAGAAAATAAATGAAAACTAAAATTGGGGAAAGAAAACCCAATAAGAGGAGGGGAGGGGGTGAAAACCTCTAATGGGTCAACTCAAAAAGAACTGAATCTCCAAAATTGCACAAAAAAGTTTATCACAACATTCAATATACCATTTCCATTGATAGAAAAGCATTTAAATCTAAGATGATAGAAATTACCTTAATAACTAACTTAACTCATAACTCTACTATTTTAGTAACTTCCAAGAAAATCCACAACATACAGTGTCACTAGCTATTCACTAATAATCTTTCAATAACTAACTCCTAGATTATATAAAAAATATATTAAAATGTGCACATAACAGATGCATACCTTGGCCACTAAATTTCCCCTGAATTGCTGGGACATTATATTGTAATTTATTTCTCCTTATTTTTTTGCGTCACTCATTCTTTTTTTTTTTTTACACACTTAGCATTGCTTTTCAACTCATAAAAACTCTACTTGATTTCCTTGCAAAGTAAGCATGCTTTAGAATGCTTAATTATTTGCAGGCTAAGATTCCACTTATATTAGGTGGCAGGTATTTTTTTATTAAACTGACTGCCAAGATGATTTCTCTTTCCAATTGACAATATGTCAACATTTAACCAACTATGCTATAAATGGTTTTGGTGTTGCTAAGGTGATTTCAATATTCATGAAACTAAGGTTCTTTTTTGATAAAGGAAGTATATTATGTCCAGATAAAGAAAATCCCTAACATACAAAGCTCAAAACCTTCCTCAAATCCCTTTTCTCACATATCTTCTCTCAAATGTCACTTTCCAAGCATAAGAAGAAAAGGAAAAGGGAAAGATTAAGGGAATGAAAACATTTTGATTCAAAGTCTCGAGTGCTACTGTAACATTTGCTTGCAATCTCTATTGAGCCATCATTTTCAACATACTCTCTCGCCTCCTAGTGAATTGTATCCTCTGATTCAGGTGCATATGTAAATCATGGCGCACTTTACTCTCGAACTCCAATTTCATTTCACATCACCTAAACAGCAGCTTCAATCCCCAACAACAACTCCTTCATAGTACATAGTCCACTGTGTCCTGCAAAAAACTGCAAAGCAGATCATGAAATTCTTGAACAAAAATGTTTTCATTCCCTAACTAGATGGACAACCTTGTTCTTGTCAAGAGGTTGAGAGTCATGAAACAATTCAGATTGGTCGAGGAAGATGGTCTAATGGAACTAATGAACAGGGATTCATGGTCTATACAAATTAGCCGCTTGAAAACCATACCATGGTTCTGAACCCTTTTTTATTATTGATATTATTAGTATTATTAAAAAGTAATATGCATATTTGTTTGGTAAGCAGTGGGCAATATTATTTCCTCTACTCAGTTTTTGTTGGATAGTTATTAATCAATGCGCTTGTATCAAAATTAATTATTTTGTTAAAAGTTAAAACTCAAGGTTGGATTTTGAGGTTGATTTTCTGAGTTAATTTATAGGAAGCATAGGATGAATAAGAGATCATTTGGCTGTGTTAATATTTAAACATAGGAGATCTTAATTTTGTCCATGTGTCTTACTCTAGTTGGACACTCACCACCATGTGATGAACAAACTTAGCTATTAGGTGTCACAATCTCATAGGGCCAAAGAAAAAGATTGACAAATATTAATGAATGAAATCTATCCAATTTAGAAAGAGAAGGGCATTCTTGGTTGTTTGTATAAGTGAACACTGCACCATTTAGAGGTAAAATCCACCAACGAATTAACTAGAGATCCATACAAAAATATTACCCAATTCCTACTTTATTGAGTATAGTTAAGACACAGAAATTTTAATACATCTTTTTGGTGAGAATAATGATGTATGCTTGTTGACTTTTGCCTATAGATAAAGAATAACACATGGAAGAACAATTGTCGTTGTCTGGGTATGTGTCTTACTTTTTACAGGATTGTCGTGTTTGTGCTGTATTAAACTTTTGCCCGAATCCATACATGAGCTTCTCAGGTAGGTATGAATTACCCATTTTAGTAGGTATGTTATTTACTCGTCCTTTGATTGCTAATCCTTGATTCTTAATATAACTATCATGGGTTTTGCCAGTTCTTTGGGTGTTTTTATTAGTGCAATGCTATTAAAAACGTCTTTTTGTGTGTGTAGGGTCAAACTTCATCCAAAAATCCCTCAGATCACTGGTGTTGGTAGATTGTTTGGATTTGTCTGTGACGGTAGATGGTGGTAGATCCTCTGGATTGATCAGTGATGTTAGTTGTTGATATCTGTGGCTTTGAAGAATGGTTCAACTGTACGCTTCTGGTCTGAAAAACAAAATTGATATCTTAATTTTAACCGCTACATGAATCTTTTTATTGCTCTTGCGATATTTAGTGTTGATGGAAGTGTGTTGCCTCAAGATGTTCTTGGTCATGGGATTTTGGACCAAATGCAAATGCTTAATCCTTTAGTCTCCTTTTTTGTTATTGATTATTTCTTCTTGTTGCTTTTTTATTGACGCCAATTTTACCAATGTGATTGACTAGCGCCATGTTTATGGATATTTATTACTATGTAATCCTTGTCCGAAATGAGGGTGACTGGCTGACGGTGCTACTAATAGGATGATATTACAGAAAGCAGTATGCAGACTACCTGAAACATGTTATCATTGTTAGCAGTATGGTGAATAAGGGAGATAGATCAATTGTCATTGCTACTAATCAAGCAATCAGTATGATCTAAAGAGCTGCTTTATGGAGAATGTCAGTTAGCATAGTTGGTATTATGCTATTGTGTCCTCTTTGACTTCTTTAGATGATTAAAGTTACGAATCTATGAATACGGGGAAAGAAGACCATCCATCAGGGTAGTCC